TCATGCTGCCCACACCTGGCCATGCAAATCCTGGACCCTGCTGCTGCTGAGCTGTCACATGTCATATTGCAGCTGATCTAAAAGCCTCAATCTAAAACCCAGCCAGCCTGTGAGCAGGCAGGTACCTGGGTGAGTGATGATAGGATGGATTTGAACAAACACAGAGAATCCCAGCCATCTATTGAACCCTGAGTGCAGAGGTATCACTGGCCAAGGAAATGAGTGACTGGGACTGTAATCAATCACATTGCACACCTGAGAAATCCAAACGCTCTGTTTAAGGAGGGTTCACAAGAATAAAGTGCTTTTTGTCACAGGGATCACAGAGAGTGGTGTTATCTGTCTCCAGCCCAGCTCCAGTCAATGTTACAGTGAGCCTGGGCTGTGGTGCCTGGCCCAGCACTGCCATCACCACAGGTAATTACAGCAGTTTTTAAATTATTTCTGTAGGTCAGTACAAACACAGAAATGTGAATAGTGCTCTACAGGAAGAATAATCCTAGGTTCAGTAATGCATAATTCATACACTCAGTGCTGCTTGACTGACATTATTTGCTTTCTAAAATGGGTTGCAGGACAAGTAAATAACCAAGGGGAACATGGCACTTGCTCAAGGAAAGGCCATAAAGCAAAGACCAGCTTTGCCAAAGTCGTTATATTTCCATAACCATAAATATCAATGTCACTGTAGCAATAAATCACCAGAGACAGGTGCTCTGCCATCGAGACTGTGGAAAACACTGTGGAAAATCACATTTGAGCAGGAAAATCACCACCCAATGGGATGCTCTGCCCTCCAGCTCTCCAGAGCCTCCCACCTACCGATCATAATCCATGACAGAGATAAGGAGGCTGACTTGATCCATGTTCTCGGGGGGAATGTCAAAGATTATTGCTTCATTGTAGGTGGGATTAAGTGTGTTTTTCTTTATGGTGGTTTTCTTCTTTTTCAGTCTTCGCCCATCACAGAGCAAAGACACTTTGACATATGGATCTAGGGAGGAAGAGACAGAAGACCTTTTGTCAATGGAGGTGTGTTTTGTTACCTTTGCAATATAGAAACAGCTTTATCAGAGTGATTGTGAGTTCCCATGAGTCAGAGGCGCTCTTCAAATGGACTTTTAGAAAAAAGTTTGTTTTCAGACCAGTGAAATCCTCCATTTCTTATACTGGTGTGGGTGGTGAGGTTCAGGAACCAGAGAACCAGCACTGCATTATTATTATTGCAGAAAGGCTGAGCTGGCTTCACCTGAAGTCTCAATTCTCAAATATTTCATATGGCATTAAGCTCCAGCTGAGCAGAAACATTTTCTGCAAAGGTCTCTGTTGTTACTGCTTTTTGTACAGTGAAATTCAAATACTGTGAAGTTGGCGTCTGGAAAATAAACTGGGTTTTATGATGAAAACCAGGATTTGTGCATGCTGAATTTGCAAGTCAGCTCTTTGAAACTGCAAATGCAGACAGTCTTCAGGTGGCTGTGATCCTCAGGTTTGACTACTGGCCACTGTCAGGGGAATGCACATTCCAGTGGGATTTATCCAGGTGCACCATGATCCTTTCCTGATCTTGGGATGAAAAAGTTGATTCTGGCTATAAAGGGTTCCCAGAGATCTAAGTGTGCAACCCAAGAGATGGATCAGAGCTCTGGCCCTGCAAACCCTCCAGTGGGATGGGAAACAAGCAATAGGAAATTCTACTTTAAAAATTTTGTTTGCATTTAAAACACAGACAAAGCTTTTTCAGGTATTTCTGTGATGGTTCACCCACCATTCACTGAGGACAGAGTGAGGCCAGAGGAGGGAATGTGGATGCCAGGGTGCCCTCCTCAGGCACCAAACACCCACCTGAGTAACCTGTGATGTCCATAGCTTTGAGATTCCTGCATTTAATGACTGTTAAGGTGAGGCGACCTGCAGTTGGCAAATAACAAAGGGAAAACATGATCTCGCCCAGGTCCACGCTTTCCTTCAAGAAAACAGAGAACACATTTTATTGGAAACGTGCAGAACCAGCCAGGTGCCTCCTCCTCCACCCCAGCATTTCCTCTGCTCTGCATTTGGAGCAAAGGGCACTTTATGGGGGTGATGATTCCAGTGCACCCCAACACAATTTGGCTAAAAATGAATACAAAGAAGGGCAAAAATAGGTTACACCTCCACATCTTAGTTAAGGACAATGTTCCTCTGCCTCAGTGGAGTCTGTGCTTCCTATTGCAACCTCCCAGCTGTGCACAGCTGCTGCACTCCTGCTCCACTGCTCACGCACAGCACATGGCATACCTCACACCAAATCAATGCAGAGAGGAAATCAAATTAGTATCAAGTCTTGTTTGAATGTACAGGACATGTCTCTAGTGCCTGGATCCTGCAGGAATGTGCCAAACACAGTGAGGTGACAGAAAGACGAGCTCCTGACACGCAGTGGTGCCGTGTTCTCTGGCTCTGCACTGCAATAAACTCCTCAGAAACTTTCTGTGACAGCCAGTGCCATCAGTTCACAACATCACAGACTGCTTTGGGTTGGAAGGATATATTGAATATGTTCTAGTTTCAACCCCCTGCCGTGGGCAGGGATGAATTCAGTAATAAAGGTTTATGACTGACAGTGCCCAACATTTCTGCATAAAATGAAAATGTCTTTGAGAAACACAGTGGTTTTCCCTGAAGCTGGCTGTGAGTTTTTGGGCAGTTACCAACTGTGGGGTCAAAGCTTTAAGCCAGAACACAACCAAGAAGGGCCCATTGAGCGTTTGTTTTGTGATGTGCCTACATTTGGAGCACCAAGCCCTCTGAGATGCCCTCAAGGAGCTGGCACAGCGTGGGGCTGGGTGTGTGAGAGCATAAATGGGGAATTAACCAGCAGATGGCACTCAGAAATGTTTGGTACTTTTGGATTACACAGAGGCCAACACAATTTACTCTTTTAGTGCCCCATCAAATAACTTTTATCCATGGCTCTTAGCACTTCTTGTACCTGCAGCTTCATCGACTACACCTCCTAAAAGCTCTTTCCATCATTGCCTTGCCCGTGGGAATTCAGGGAAAAATAAACAAACCAAATGTCTTATTTAAACTAGAAAGCATCATTATCCAAACTCAGCAGAACGATTTCCAAACACCTTCTAAAAATGGATTAAAAAAAAAAAATCTTATTTTCTACATACAGATCCCACATCTGTAGAGCAAACAACTCGTTTATTTTCAGAAACTGTGTTTGATTCCTTTCAATGCCATATAATGATCTGCTGAAAAGAAATTGTAGCTGTTAGGAGTAGAGTGATGGAACTAGAAAGACAAGTAAATGCACTTAAAGCTTTGCTAAGTGTTAGGGGAATAGATCTTGTTGATGGATGAGGTTTTTGCCAAATTATTTCCTGCTCATTCTCAGGTAAGGCAAAGATTAAATCTTTATTCCACTTAGATGTGCAGAATACTAATGAATATTATATAAAATTTTGATTTGGTCTGTTCTTTCATGCATTCTTTGTTCTTAGTTGATGTGGGTGGGACGAGGGCAGGAGACCTTGGACAAGATATCAGAAGAGAGCAGCCCTGTGTGAGATGGTGGGAGCACCCTCTGGACACCATCTCATCTTCTATTCCTCTCCTTGCACTGAGAGGACCCGTTCAGGGTATAAAATGAACATAAATTGTTCTTTGACCTCGCTGTATCAGGTCAAGAGATTTCTTTTTTGCAACCATAAATACAAGAGAGCAAAGCATGTCCTGTGGGTACATTATTTTCTTGCAGATTATAGACATTGGGACATTTCCAAAATTCATATCAGTACCTTTTAGGAAATAATGGAAACTCTGAATCAATAGACTTGAAACCAAAGATGTTTCCCTGATTCACAAGCTGTACAGTCATTAATTAAGCAGCTGAGTGCTGGCTATTTGACCAGATCAGTGCTTAAGTGTGTTCCTACCCTCTTACCCACACCATTGATCTCATGCATTATTAGGCACCCAGAGCTTTCTTGGGGTTTTATGCAAACTGTATTTACCCTTCTCAATTTTGATTAAACAGAAATGTCCTTGGGTGTGCTAGAGCTGGCTGAGATGTTCCAGGAGCAGCACATTCCTTAAGAATGGCACGGAGAGGACGAGGGGATGGAGCCAAACGTGGTGCTGGACGTGTCTGTGCCAGGCTCCTGCTCAACACATCTTGGATTTGGGGTTGGGTCTGCTCCCCTCACACCTTCTCTGGAGGTTTTCCCCCAACAGCCCTTCTGCTGCTGTATCTCCACCTGCTTTTGTGGGGAGATACGTGCTTTTCCCCCCATTAAATGAGATTATTTAGCCAGGAAAACATCCACTCCACTGTTGTTGCAGAGCCAACAGGCAGGTTGCTCCAGGAGGCATCAGCACATGAGGTGCACTTTGCTCCCCTTCCAGCAGCCCCTCTGTGGCTGAGGGATGTTCCTGCTTGCCTCCCTGCCAGCATCTCTGCCTTCATTTCCACCCATCCACCATAGCAGCCGTGGCTGTGTGCAGGTCGGGAGCCAAGAGCTGTGTGAGCACCCTGCTGGTTCCGACTGTTCTTTTCCTCATGGCTGATCCTGTGCCTCCTTCCCACAGCCCTGCCGGGCAAGATGCTCCAAAGGCAGCGCAGCAGCAGCCCCCAGAGCTGCCCCAGGGTGCTGGCAGGCACCACCTCCATCCCTGTGTCCTCAGGCTGGCAGGGCAGGGCTCTCTGTGCCCTCCCAGGGCAGCTCCAGCCCCTGAGCCACCTTGCAGCTCCCCCCTGCAGCACATTGCCCTGGAGCTCTTGTTTCCTTTGCCAGGGGATTGGTGTGTGGCCACAGGAGGGGAGCTGGCTGCTGCTCCGGGTGCCTTTGCTGGGCTAGAGCATCCCTCCCTGCAGTGTCTCAGCTGTTGAAGCCAGGGGGACACAGATTTATGCCCACAGATTTGTGCCTGCTCTTGGGGCTGGCAGGGAGCTCACTGCCTCATGTGCCCTCAGCCCCTGCTGGGAGCAGAGCCCAGCAGTGTGGGTGTAAATAAACAGGCCTGTCCAGTCATGAGGGCTGGGCAGGGGGGTCTTATAGGGAGAAATTATTCATTTCTGACTGACAAAGACCGTGTGGCACTCTGGTGATGAGCTGCCTGCACCTCGTGAGTGCCCTGGGACCGTGTCCCTGCTGGGCACAGCAGCTGGGCACATCTGCTCAGAAAGTTCTGAGCCCTCTGCAGCAGAAGAACGAGCACTGGTGGAAGTCACCAAGGGGTACAGCTGGTGGGGAGCACAGTGCTGAGAAAAGAAGCACTGGAGTTACAAAGCAAATCTCTCCTGGCACTGCTGGCCACAATAAAAATTTATATTTGATGGTTCCCTCCTCGGCACAGAAAGCAGGGGAGCAAAGGTATGAGATGAGCTATGAGGGAAGCTGCAGGACAGATTTTTGCAGTTTGTGGCGTTGTGCCAGTCAGCAGGAAAGATGTGACAGGGCCCACGCTTCCAGCCACAGGGGTGGGGATGTCTCATCTTTCAGTCTCAGAAATAACAATGTGAAATGACAATGACAATGGCTGATTTGGTGTCCAGCTGCAGAGCAGTTCAATTGTTCATTTGCCCTGAGGACCAGCCAGATCCTCCTGGGAGGGCAGTGGAGGAGCAGACAGCTCTTATGGAGAGGTTAATGTCACTGCTCTGCACTCAGTGATCAATGTGAGCACTTGGCTTCTCCTGCCAGCTCCGTGGGACATGGATGGGGCTGGGACTTCTCCTCTCTGGGGTTTGGCTTCTCTTCCAGAGGGAATTCAACAGAACTGCTAAGAGACCCAAATCCAGCTCTGGAAGAGTTGCCAGCAGCACATCCAGCATCTCTCAGCACCAAGGGACTGGTACTGTCCCCACAGAGCTCTTCCTTACTGTGATCATGTGATGCCTTGAGCTTTTAGCTTTTCTGTTTTTCAGATCCTGCTCTGCATTAGTGTATAACTCTGAACTCCATAGAGAGTGTTAGTAAGGTATTTTCAAGTTTTTGTCAGACCAAACAATCCTTCCAGGCCTGAGAACCAAGGATCCCCTCTGCCTCAGGCCCCAAAAAGTATAAACAAAAGTGAATTGGGGAGCAGAAGCAAACTGGGAAATACCTCATTACCTGAAGCTATAATTGGACAATTAACCTCTGGTATGCAGATAGACCAATATTTCCATCTGAAATAACTTGTGGCCACCATCCACTATGTGGTCTCTGTGTGGGCACACATATTGAAAAAGCAAGAAAATTACAGCCTGGAAAATATTCCAGGCTGGAGCTTCTCAGCTCTGTTCCCAGCCGATAAGCTGGTCCAGCTCAAGGCCAGGGACAATTTCTCTCTGGGTGATAATTTGGTCAAAATAAAAAGGAATGAATAATAAAGATAGATCACCTGTTGTGGTGTGTGACCAGGCCCTGGCAATGGGGTGTCTTCTCTTTGAATCAATCATCTTTCTTCTGCCCTTGGAGTTGTGAGTTGTTCTATTTAAGCAAGTGTGCTTCTGAATAAACTTGTCTCTCTTTCTTTCCTATCATGATGAGGACCATGTAGCTGTGTGTTTTATTTCCACTGCATCCAAAGGGTTAATACCCCCTTCCACAGCTACATCTCTGGGAGGCTCTGACTGCCCAAACTGTATCTATTGAAGGGCTGCAACAAATCCTCACTTTATTCTCTTAACTCTGTTCTAGGTAGCCACTCCAAGGCATCACATGTGCATGTGGCAGAGAGCTGTGCCATGGCTGGGGGTCCCTGGGGCTAACAGGAGGCCAGGAACCCACCAGCTGGGAGCCACGAAAGGCTGAAATGGAGGATGAATGAAGGATTTACCCCTGTGGAGAGCCCCCACCCTGCCCAGCAGACACTCACCGTGGTGGCATACTGGATGTCCCTCCAGATGGAAGTCTCCCGGGACAGGTCTGAGTCCTCGAACAGGTTCTCCAGGATGACCTCTCCGATCATGTCGTGCCTGGAGAACCTGTCAAAGTCAAAGACACTCAGGTGGAGCTTCCTGCTGGCCAGCTCCTCGTGGGGCACGGGGAAGTGGAAGGACTCGTCAAAGGTGGGGTTCAGGGTCTTCCTGTGCACTCGTGTCTGGAACTTGCGCTTGCGGTCGGGCAGGAGGTAGATCTTCACGTAGGGATCCGAGCTGCCACACAGGTCCTTGGCTGGCAGGTCAAAAGCCCTGAGGATTCTCACGGTCAGCGTCTCGTTCTCGTAGTCGTACTTGAGAGTGAAGTTGATTTTCCCGCAGGTTTTCTCCGCCTCTTTCTTGGTGTCCTCGGCGTCCACGGTTTTTTGTTTGTAGAGCTCGGGTTTGATGCGGCCGATGCTGGTGGGCTGCTCGGCCACGGCCGGCGGCTCCAGCCCGTAATCCATGCTGGCCACGTGCATCTGCCGGGGCAGGTGCCTCTTGAAGGAGATGTGCCTGCAGGAGGAACACACCAACACCTCTGTGGCCTCCCCAGCACCTGGCTCTCCTTTCTCACCCCTGGGCTCAGAAAGCAAGGCAGCACAGGAGGAGTTCCATGGTGCTCCTCACCCCTGCACAGAAACCACGTGTGGTGTGGAGGGGAGCAGACAGGAACGCCTCCAAAAACCTCAAGGAACCAGTCCAGCACATTTGTTAAATTCCAGAGTATTTCCCACAAGCTGTGTTGTCTCACCTGTGGCACAGCTGAACAGAAGGGCCCCAACAACTCCTTACCCAAATCACAGACACACAGACAGCACCATGTGGAGACTTTCCCCACTCTCAGTCCTTACACTTCCAAGCTACTGGCACTAAGCTCTCTCAGGCAAAAAACCACACATTTCTTTCTCTTTTTCTTTTTTTTTTTTTTTTTTTCTGGTGAAAGAACCACTACCAATTCAGAAGGTGAGGCTTTATTCATAGGCTTTATTCATTGGGTTCAGAGGGTTTTAAAGCTCATCTCATTGCATCCCCTGCCACGGGCAGGGACACCTTCCCCTAGATCAGCTTGCTCCAAGCCCTGTCCAGCCTGGCTTTGCTGGGTATTGCTGCTTCCAGACTTTTCCAACAGACTCAACAGAAATTGATAGATAATTGTTGACAGGGAGGGAGGCACAGTCTCATTGGGAAGCATCTCTTGCCTTGAGCTCTCCTCCTGCACAAGCTGTATGTAAGCAAAGCTTTATCTGAACAAAGCATAAAAGCTTTCTGTGGACTGAGGGCATTATTTCAGATTATCTGGCGTTTACAAGAGCAGTTTATAGAGTTATTTAACCAAACTAAGAACTCTACAGCCTTCAGTGAGACGTGGTGCTAAGAGACCTTGGCAGGTTCCTCAGAGGTATTTTGGACAGGGTTAGGCTGGGCTGTGAATCAGAGGAACCTGCCAAGGAGAAAGTGAGTTTGAAACCTGCCCACGTACAGCCAAGTCCCACTTTGTTTGTCCTAATTCAGACTGGCTGTGGGATTTTTCTCCTCTGCTGGAAAGGTGTAATAAAAGCAGAGGGAGTGTGTGCATGCAGAGAGGGAATCAGCTGCCCAAAAAGCAGTGTGGATAAATAAAAGAGTGTGGCTCACAAATGCAGGCGGCACCGTGCTGATCTAACTCAGCTCCTTCAAACAGGGGGCTGCCATCAGTGCCTCACTAATCCTGCAAAAGTGCAGCCAATTTCCTGAGCAGTGCCTGATTTCCCTGTCACACTCCTGTGCACATCCCAGGCACGGCCAGCCAGGCAAACAGAAGTGCTGGGGCACAGCCAGGACCCTGTGATCCTCTTTCCTGTCCTTGTCTCACCGCCCTCTGTGTCAAGGAGAGATGCTGCATTTCACAGAATGGTTTGTGTTGGAAAGGAACCTCCAAGTTCACCTCATTCCACCCCCTGCCATGGCCGGGGGCACCTTCCACTATCCCAGGTTGTTCCAGTCTGGCTTTGGACACTTCCAGGGATGGGGCAGCCAAAGTTTCTCTGGGCAAACCTCTGCCAGGGCCTCACCCCGATCTGAGTAAAGAACCCCTTTCTAACATCTAATCGAAATCTCTCCTCAGCAGCCAAGCTGAGAGGGTGTCCCAAGGTTCACACAGCCTTTCCTGACTTCCTGAGGAGGATGCTGATGTCTCTGTCCCCATCTGAGCACGAGCTCCGAGCTCAGCTGGTTCAGGGCTTGTGCAGTGAGCAATCCATCAATTGTGCTGATCTGATTGTTTCTGCCAGGAGCCACAACAGCAAGAGAGAGCCAAAAGGTCTAATTCTGTCTGACAGGGTACATCATTGATACTTCAGCCTGCCTCTCACGTTGGAACAAAATTAAAGTGGCCAAAGCATGCGGGTGACTTGACACAATGAGGTCAAGTTGCAGTAATAGGGCTCAAATCCCTGATTTTTTAAAAGGGCCACAGTGAGCCAGCCTTAACACATTCACAGGTTAATGGCCAAGCTTTGGACAGTAATCTGGTGTGTAGGTGCTCTCTTTAGTCTCCCTGATGGTATCTGAACCTCTGGCTCCATCCAGCAATCCTCCCACCTCCAGCTGCTCACAGAGCAGTGTCCCTGCTGAGCACCCCATTCCTGCTGAGCACCCCATTCCTGCTGAGCACCCCACCCCTGCTGAGCATCCTATTCCCACTGAGCACCCCACCCCTGCTGAGCACCCCATTCCCACTGAGCACCCCATCCCTGCTGAGCACCCCATTCCTGCTGAGCACCCCATTCCCACCCAGCAGAATCAAGGAATATCCTGAGCTGGAGGGGACCCACAAGGATTACCGAGTCCAGTTCTTAGCCCTGCACAGACACC